GTCAACCCTCGGAAGTTGAAGTAACTGTCGGAGGTTACGCGAAAGTCAAAGGTCAGCAACCTTTGACCTGACAAATACAGCGCGACAGCAAGGACACACAACTGACTTGTTACAGAGCAGTTGCCCGAGTCGTCACTGTATCAAACCGCAACAGCAACAGTAAAGTAGTTATAACTGTGTCTTTTCATATTCCCTATATTCATATATAATCTTGTATCTCTTTGCTTTAGGCAACTTACTTTGCCCTCACATACTAGCGCAAGGTGGTTCACAACCCTTTAATTAAAGCTTCCGCTACTACACCAACTCTACCCAGAGTTCACCCCTGCAAAGATCCAAAGGTGCTCTTCAACCCAACAAGTTACAAGTTTTTTTGGCGGGAGTTACATGTGTGACCATTCGTGTGATTTTTTACCTGTTGATAGTGACTGAATCCATGACCCCGCTTACCAAGCCCGTCAGAAAACCCGATACAGTGACCGTACGCGTTTGTTTTTTTTACCATTCACGTTATCGAGTCCCAAGTTGGTTACTTGTTGCATATTCTCCCTAATACTTTTGTATAAAAGTAATTACTGTACTGTTGTGAGATCTGTAGTTCTGCCTGAAACGTCAGGCAACCTGACCAGACATGACAAGTCAATCTGCAGCCAATCCAGTGCGCATGGCGCTGGTGCAGTTTCAGTCCCGGAGATCTTTTCGATCGCAGGGGATCCGGCTGCGAGGATTTCGTTGCGAAAGTACGATGCTGACTCGAGCAGGAAAGCCTGACTTCACGACGACGACTCGCTCTGCGACCAGTTGCGATCAGCGGTCGTCCAAATTCCCAGCAACAAGAGCAGCTCTATTAGTCTTCTTCGTCGTCTCAGCCTTCCGCTTCGCTAAGCCTCTCACGCCATGTTCAGCCATAATCGAGTCGAGAGTCCACACCCTCAGCTCCATTGCAATAATCAAACACTAATACAGCTGAAAATTATGTTGGGATTGTTGATTCAGATAAATGAAATTCACTAACCAGCAATACAAGATGCCAGCAATTCAAATAGCTCCAAAGTATTTACACTGAGAAAAAATCGTCATCAATACTTGGGATTCACCACATATCCCATGGTTCAGTTGTTATCGCAAGTTCTTGCTCACTAAGTCCAGGAAGCAGCATTTCCAGCCCCTCCATTCCCCACACATCTCCCTCCAGCTGAAAATCCGCATCATCGGAACCCATAGAGACAAGCTCAGCCCCACATTCTCCCAAGGAGCTATTGCTTTCAGGACTCATCTCTCCACTACTCTCCCCCGCTTCAAGAACCTTGCTGCTGCTGCTGCCCCCGTCCAACCCTTCTGAACCCTCGTTCTTGTTTGCCTCGCTTCCATTTCCCCGCAGGCACGCGCGTTTCTCACCACCATTTACATCACCCTGCAACGCATCGGACCCATCTCCACCACGGTCTTCTTCGCATCGCCCCCGTTTCCCTGGGCTCATGCAGCTCTGCTCACTCACCCCATGCATCCCCTCCGATGCTGCTTCGATCCCTCCTGCCTGAACGCCCAGGGATTCACCTTCAGGTGCCATTGCAATGTCTGATGACCCTTCTATATTCACCTGGACTGTGCCTGGTGACGTGGCAGGGGTAGCTGCAGAGTCACAACCCTGCACTGCCACATGGAGCTTGGAGAGCTTCATGTAATGCTCCAGGAGAATCTGCTGGGGGTTGCTCAACGTTGGGAGCGAGCTCACCTGTGGGTAAGCTGCTGACAATTGTGGTGTTGATGGGTGCGATGCAGTCGAGTGCGGTGCTGATGGGTTTGATGCCGACGGCTGCATCGGTGATGGAGCAACAGGGATGGCAGGCGGCTGACAGCGCTGGGGCTTCTGCAGCGAAGCAGCCGCAGGCAGACTGAACGGCGGCAGCGTCTGCATCGCTCCCAGCACCTCAGTCACTCGTGTCCTCTGACTCGCCCATGCAGAGGCTGCCGGAATTGTTTCAGGGAGCTTCGCCGTAAGCGCCTGAAGAGCTGGCAGCAGGCTGAAGGGTGATGGAGAATTGGGGGAGGCCTGCGATTCCAGTGTGGAATGACACGCATGACGATGGGGTGAGGATTGCTGGGGTAGGCGCGGAGGGTTCTGCTGCTGCTTCAGCTGTTGCTGCTTCACCTGCTGCAACAGGTGCTGCTGTTGCTGAAGCTGCTCGCAATGCCACGCCTGGTGCGCTCCTTCCGCTCGCTGCTGCTGGGAAAGGAAGAACGGGAACAACGCGTGCTCCTCAAGGCTCGAAATCTTTTCCTCGAAGGGCGTCTTCGCGCATCCCGCCCCGTCCGCGTCGGGCCTCGCGAGGGGAAATCCATTGAGCGGTGAACGAGTTAGTAACGCCTCGCGGGTCTGGCGGCTCGCCGCCGCGATAGTCCCGCATTGAGTCGTCGCGACAGCTGACGGGGTGCTTGTGATTGGTTGCTGCGCGCCGATTCCGCGAATCGTGGCGAGTTTGCGCAACTCCTGGATCTCGAGCATGAAGCGCGCGAGCCATGGCGACGGGCTGCTGGGAAGGCCGCTAGTTCCGCCGCAGGCGCTGGCACCGAAAGCAGTAGCAGTGGGAATAGCGGTAGGAATTGGAGGAGTAGCAGCTGTAGGAGCAGCACTAGGGGCAGCGGTGGGGGCAGGAGTTGGGAAGTTTGAGAACCTCGGGAAGCTGTTAACGCCGCCGCTGTCGCGGAGGCCGTTGCGGAGGTGATAGCTCCACGATGTGCTTGTATCGGGGACGGCGATTGGCTTTGCTCGAGAGTGAGTCGCAAGAGCCACCGGTGACACCGCGACGGGATCAATTCGACTTCCGCCACTCGCGGCGGCGCTCGGGACAGACGATTTAAGTTTCTCGGCGTTGGCGGAGGGGGAACGTGAACTTCCGTTCGGCGCAGGCGCAGGCGCCGGGGTAGCGGGGAAGTTGAGCACGGCCTCCGCTCCGTACAGCTTCCGCGCAGCGCGGTCGTACGCACGCGCAGCTTGCTCCGCGGACACGAAGGAGCCAAGCCATAGGCGCACCTTGCGCCGCGGCTCGCGGATCTCCGCCACCCACGTCCCCCACGTGCGCTGCCGCACGCCGCGGTAGCGGAAGAGGGAGTTATCGGGCCCGCCGCGCGCTGCTGCTGCTGCTGCTGCTGCGGCGGCTGCTGCTGCTGGTGCTGCTGATTCCGCTGCTGTGATCGTCGCGAGGCTTTCCATTCTATAGTCGGGGACTCTTCGGAGACTTAGAAAAGAACAAAAAATCCCGAATTTAAATCGATGTGTACGCGCCTAGCGAACCTGCGTTGCAGCTGAGTTCAGTCGTCGCTACTATGAGTGGACAAAGGCTTTCTGACAGGCGTGAGTGAGAGTGTCGTTTAAGTCAATGAGCTGAGTGAATGCTTCGTAAGCAGTCGCGTTGGACTCTGCTGTCGAGCTGACCTTTTGAGTGATCTCAAATAACTGAGCGAACTACGGAGAACAAACAAACGAGACTCCGTGTCGTAGGAGCTTGGAACTGACGCTGTCGCGCTGGACGCGGGCGGTTATGAACGACGATGCAGTCACTGCAAGCCGTAACATGGGAAATCGTTGCAAAATGAACTACCATCTTCCGAGCATCGTTGTAATAGTCTGTTACCGGTATGCGCTGCTCTGGACTGCTGTGCCCTTCATTGCTCCCATGAATGCAAAGATCGTCTCGTCGCTAACTCGTGGCTGTTGGCCATCGTGGATCGTCGTCGCGCCTCAGTAACGAAGCTCTCAAGAGCTATGCGAGCAGGACAGGCGTTGCAATGAGACTTGCACAGATACGACGACGGCAAGTCGCTATGACCCACCCGTGGGACGACGGGGCGGCGAGAGTCACCCTCAATCTTATTAGTCGCATGTGCCGCGGCCACACGGAATCATACCATCGTACTACCGCACTTCCAACGTCTGATGTGTCTCTTGGATGCATCAAGGTCCAGCTTGAGACTTTCCTGAGCTGGTTTGCGGGATTTGGGTAAAATGGCGGTGACTTCACATTCGTGGAATGGAGGGGAATATCGTGAGATACGGAAAAGAAACAGAAATGGATCTTGGAGCACATGGAATTTGCTGATACGTTTGTAAGAGGATCAGCTTTGCAGTGAAGGCAATTCTGTGCAGAGAGGATGTAAGAAATTGGAATTTCGGGACGACAATTGGTGCGAATCGCGTTGGCAGAATTGCGCAGTGGAGGCGCATAGCGGATCGCGGATATTGTTATGAGCGCATTTTGCATTATTACTGGCGCGAAATACAAAATCTGGGCTGTGTAGTACCTTTGTAAAAGTCTTTACTGTACTTACGAGTCAGTTCTGCCCGGAACGTCAGGCAACCTGACCTCATATGAAAAGTACAAAATCTCCATGTAGTGCGCATGGCACTTGTGCAGTTTCAATTCCGAATTTCTATCCAATCGAGTCTGGTGCATCAGTCGGTTCGCATTGCACCCAGTCCGTTGACTCATCTGCCACAAGAAACAGCTGTTCCTCACCCGTGCAAACGGAAACGTTCAAACTGTAGTGATGCGATAAGAAAGGGACACTCTCACCGCCATTACTGTGGCGATAGATATCTGCGATGGGATTCCATGAGCCCAGCGTGGACGAGCCTCACGTGCTCGTTCCGCAGAGCCAATGAAACGTGAGAAGCTGTAATCGCGCTGGCACACCCTACCAACATTGACCACCATTTCCGTATCCGCTGGATCCGGCGCGGTCGCCTTCACCACTAGGAGGAATGGCAAGGTCCAGATCGGACAAGCGCAACCACGATATCCTCTATAGAAGCCGACTGAAGAGCCACACAATGAATGTGTCTCAACGCGAAGTTTCATTCGTAACGTGTCAACAAACACAGTGGTACTATCATTGGTAAGAAAACATCAGCAGCACGCCAAGATTGATTAACATGAAATGAAGTATTTATAGTGTTCAAACACAACATTGTGCAAGCTACGAATAACAGGCGCCACCAATCACTCGAAGGGGTTGATACGCGGATCGTGCTCTGTGGCAAGTGCCATGCCCGTGCACAAGCAAGTAGGGCACATCACCTGAATGTGGCAAAGGAATGAAGGTGGGGAACGGATGAATGGTACATGACATGAAAGGAAGATTATACAAGGCTGAATGAATATTTTCAAAACACGAGCACTCAGCAAATTCTTATTAAGACATTTCAGGCCTCGGATCGCCCTTATGCCTTGTCCCTAGTGTTCCTCATCTGTCAAACAAAAGCCCAGACGTCCATTTCTCCAACCCCATGCATGCACATGCCCCGCATTCCGATCCCCACGCCCCTCCTCACCTTGCGCAGACCAGCACAGTTGGGACACCGCTTGGCCACCTTCATGCCTTGCCGCCCAGCAGTAACTGCTCCCTCTGCTCCTGCTCCCTCAGCTGCCGCTGCAAGCGCCCCATTGGCTGCTCCTCGTGCTGAACCCTCCCCCTCCAACTGCACGTCGATCAGCGAGCCTGTGGCAGCGCAGCGCGCACAGGCCAGGTAGCCTGGAGATGAAGGGGAGAGGGGAGGAGAAAGTGCAATATCAGAAGCAGCCAACAAAATTCAACAGAGTCAAGGGAAGCACACCTGCTCTTCCACCTCCAGCTGCACGTCAATCAGCGAGCCCGTGGCAGCGCAGCGCGCACAGGCCAGGTAGCCTGGAGATGAAGGGGAGAGGGGAGGGGAAAGCGCAATATCAGAAGCAGTCAACAAAATTCAACAGAGTCAAGGGAAGCACACCTGCTCTTCCACCTCCAGCTGCACGTCAATCAGCGAGCCCGTGGCAGCGCAGCGCGCACAGGCCAGGTAGCCTGGAGACAAGGGAGATGGGGAAAAAAGTTTGAAAACGGTCAACATAAGTCAACAGAGTCAAAGAAAGCAAAAATGCCCCTCCCCTTCCAGCTGGACATCTATGAGCGAGCCTGTGGCAGCGCAACGGGCACACGACAGGTATCCTGGCCTGGCGGCAGGGGGGAGATGGGGAGGAAAGGAAAAAAAGAAGGTTGAACTCAGTCAACAAAAGTCAGCAGAGTCAAAGGAAGCACACTTGCTCCTCCCCCTCCAGCTGCATGTCAATGAGCGAGGCCGTGGCATCGCAGCGTGCACACGCCAGGTTGCCTGGAGGCAGGGAAGAGTTGGGAGAGACTGATCCATAAAATTCAAAGAAGTCAACCGAGTCAACAGAAGCACGCTTCTCCCTCACCTCCAGCTGCATACATATGAGCGAGCCTGTGGAGGAGCAACGGGCACAGGTAAGGTAGCCTGGAGGGCGGGAGAAGATTTTTGAGGCGCCTAAAAAATCGTAGCAACGGGCACAGGAAAGGTAGCCTGGAGGGCGGGAGAAGGGGAGTTGGGGGAGCAACGTTGAGAGCATTCAACAGAAGTCAACAGAAGTCAACCGGGTCAAAGGAAGGCGGTGACAGGCATGGGATGCATGGCGAGGCGAGCAGACACACATACCTGATCCATGGCAGTACATGCAGCGCTTGTGTTCCTGCTGCTTCACGTTATTCACCTCTACCACCAGCAGCGCTGACAACACCCCCACGTTGACCCTTGAGCTGACTCAAGAGGCACACACACACACACACACACACACATACACACACACACACACACACACACACACACACACACACACACACACACACACACACACACACACACACACACACACATACCCGTTCCATGGCAGTACATACTCGATCCATGGCAGTACATACCCGATCCATGGCAGTACATACCCGATCCATGGCAGTACATACCCGATCCATGGCAGTACATGCAGCGCTTGTGCTCCTGCTGCTTCACGTTGTTCACCTCCACCACCAGCAGCGCTGACAGCACCCCCACCGCTCCCCCTGTGAAGGAGGCGACTATGGGATCCACTTGACTGTAATGTGAGGGAAGGTTCGGAGGGGGTGGTATGAGAGGAAAGAAAGAGGCACCATTAACAGCAGCGGAGGCATCACCTCCTCCACCAGCAGTGCCGACAGCACCCACACCGGCCTCCCTTGTGAAAGAGGCGGCTATGGGGTCCACTTGGCTGCAGGATGGGGAGGAGAGGAGTGAGTGGGAGCGGAGGAGACAGGGTTACTAATTTGCCTTCCACCTCAGTGAGCAGTGAGGCACCTCCACCACCAGCAGCGCTGACAGCACCCCCACCGCCCGCCCTGTAAAGGAGGCAACTATGGGATCCACTTGGCTGCAGCATGGGGGGCAGAGGAGTGAGTGGGAGCGGAGGAGACATGGACCACCAGTGGAGGGACCATCACCTCCACCACCAGCAGCAGCGCTGACAGCACCCCCACCGCCCGCCCTGTGAAGGAGGCACCTATGGGATCCACTTGGCTGCAGCATGGGGGGCAGAGGAGTGAGTGGGAGCGGAGGAGACATGGACCACCAGTGGAGGGACCATCACCTCCACCAGCAGCAGCAGCGCTGACAGCACCCCCACCGCCCCCCCTGTGAAGGAGGCACCTATGGGATCCACTTGGCTGCAGCATGGGGGGCAGAGGAGTGAGTGGGAGCGGAGGAGACATGGACCACCAGTGGAGGGACCATCACCTCCACCAGCAGCAGCAGCGCTGACAGCACCCCCACCGCCCCCCCTGTGAAGGAGGCACCTATGGGATCCACTTGGCTGGCATGGGAGGGGTAGATGTAATGAGAGGATGGAAAGGGAAGGCGACAAGTGTTCAGAAAGAGCAGTGCCGACAGCACCCCCACTGCTCCCTTTGTAAAGGAGGCCACTATGGGATCCACTTAGCTGCAGGATGGGGAGGAGACAAGGAAGACATGGAGCGTTCAGAAGTGGCTGTGCTGACAGCACGTCCACCCCACAGCTCCCTTTGTGAAGGAGGCCACTATGGGATCCACTTGGCGGGGGTGTGTTGTTGAGACACTATGTGATGAGACAGTAGACAGTAGGGAGGGGATGTTAGGAGGGGTGAAAGGAGCATTCGGAAAGGACAATGGTGACAGCACCCCCACGCCCCCCCCTGTGAGGAAGGCCACTATGGGATCCACTTGCCTGCAGTAAGAGGGAAGCAGAGGAGAGTTGATAGAGAGCAGAGGGAAAAGGCATATGCATGAGGAGTGAGCATATATGGTAATGGGTACCTTTTCCCTTCCCCCCAGCCTCATGTGCCCCCTCTCTCTCACCCACCAGCCCTCATGTGCCCACTCTCTCTCACCCACCAGCCCTCATGTGCCCACTCTCTCACCCACCAGCCCAATAAATTCCTCGTAGGACGTGCCACACACCCATGCCCAGCCATGCATGTTGCATGCTGCTGCACACCTGTCTCATAGCGGCACCAGCTCCCCTTCTCACTAGCTCACCTGAGCTGGTGGGGCAGGTGCATGCTGGCAATAAAGTCCTCGTAGGGCGTGCCACACACCCATTTTGAAGGCACAAGTCACAGCAGCACTGACTCACTCATATAGTGCATCTGAGAGGGCGTATGCTGCTGTTGTGGCAGGGCGTCTCACCTGAGCTGCCGCGGCAGGTGCATGCTGGCGATAAAGTCCTCATAGGATGTGCCACTTACCCATGCCCAGACACAAGACAAGATGCACAGACTGATAACGCCACCACCCCCCCTCATAGACAGTAATCTACCTTCTCAGTCACGAGCTTACCTGAGCTGGCGTGGCAGGTGCATGCTGGCGATAAAGTCCTCATAGGATGTGCCACCCATGCCCAGCCGCAGTTGCAGCTGATGATAGGAGCAAAGGAAAGGGGGAGCGAGAGAGGGCGGGAGGGAGAGAGGGAGGGAGCGAGGGAGGGAGGGAGAGAGTGAAAGAGGGAAGGAGGGAGGGAAAGTTGAACAAAAGATTTGACGGGCATTACAAAGGGGCAAGGAAGAGTGGTAGAGTCGGGGGGAGGGAGGGAGGGGCATTAGGCAGCAAATGGAAGAGCAATATCGAATGAATGGTGCATCAGATGAACAGTGAATCCCCCTCACAGAAGATCCCATAAACAGTGAAATACCCCACACTACCCAACCCGAACTTAGCCAGTAATTAATCCCCTCATCCCAGCCTCCACGACTGCTACACCCCCCTTACAGTGGGCGCCACAAGGCCACCGAAAATGATGAGGCTGGCGACAAGGAAGGCGAATGTGATGTAATACTCCTTTAGAGTGTCCGTTTTCTGCGGTTGTGCAGGGGAGAACCAGGGGGTAAGGGAACCAAAAGGAAGGTCACACAAAGAAAGCAGAGGAACCAGGAAATAAGTCAGGCAAGGAAGGCGAACGTGATGTAATATTCCTTGAGGGTGTCCGTTTTCTGCTGCAGTCAGGGGATGTGGGGAGAACAGGAAAGCAGCACAAGCAAGAGAAAAAGCAGCATTAGGCCAGCCACACAAGGAAGGCGAAGGTGTCCGTCTTCTGCAGTCCGGTAGTGCAGGGCGGTCATATGAAGAATAGCCACGTGATTGAATAAGTGTTTTGAAGAAGAATAGCTGCTGCTGCTGCCCTACCTACCAGCAGCGTCACAGAAAAAGGCTCATAGGATGTTTCAATTCAACACTCACAAGTGGGGGCAGGAAGGGAATCGAGGAGGGGTACTCGGGCATCTCCTCCTCCTCCTCCACTGGCAGGCCTCCCAATTTCGCTCGTGCGGCGGCTGCTGCTGCTCTGTTGCGGCTCTCCTCTGCATTCTTGATCTCCTGCTGAATGCGCAGCCGGCGAATCTGGTTACAAGGGGGACAAAGAAGGGAGGGGGCGGAAGGGAGACATACAAAACAAGTGCCCGAGTCGTTAGAAACAAACGGCTCTCCTCTGAGTTCTTGATCTGCTGCTGAATACGCAGCCGGCGAATCTGGTAAGGTGGCAGAACGAGGGGCAACATGGCAAACGGGGTTTGAATCGACTCGAATAGTGGCACTCCTCTGGTCTTGTGATCCCCAGCGACATGTGGAGCTGACGAATCTGGTTACAAGGGGGACACCCCACCATGGCGAATCTGGTCTCCTGCAGCGCCTACCACCATCCTTTCCCCTGCTCCCTCTGTGACTCACCTCTTCCAGCAGCAGGAAAATCCGGTTGCGCCGGGAGGTGATGTTGTCACGGATCTCTGTGAGCTGCATGCGGGCAAAGTCCTGCAGTGCGTCCGGTCCCTCTACGATGCAGAACTCGCCCACCACTGCTCCCAACCCTGCACCGTTTGTCCTACAACCCACAGCCGCACCACCTCATGCACCACCAGCAGCAGCAGTAGCAGCAGCAGCAGCAGCAGCAGCAGCAGTAGCAGCAGCAGCAGCAGCTGCAGCAGCAGCAGCAGCAGCAGCAGCAGCAGCAGCAGCAGCAGCAGCAGCAGCAGCAGCAGCAGCAGCAGCAGCAGCAGCAGCAGCAGCAGCAGCAGCAGCAGCAGCAGCAGCAGCAGCAGCAGCAGCAGCAGCAGCAGCAGCAGCAGCAGCAGCAGCAGCAGCCGCCGCCGCCGCAGCCGCCGCCGCCGCCGCCGCCGCCGCCGCAGAAGCAGCAGCAGCAGCAGCAGCAGCAGCAGCAGCAGCAGCAGCAGCAGCAGCAGCAGCAGCAGCAGCAGCAGCAGCAGCAGCAGCAGCAGCAGCAGCAGCAGCAGCAGCAGCAGCAGCAGCAGCAGCAGCAGCAGCAGCAGCACCAGCGGCAGCAGCAGCATACCTTTCCTCCCTCACCTCCTTGGCCCCGTTACCCTCTGCCTCACCTCTTCCAGCAGCAGGAAAATCCGGTTGCGCCGGGACGTGATGTTGTCACGGATCTCAGTCAGCTGCATGCGAGCAAAGTCCTGCAGCGCGTCCGGCCCCTCTATGATGCAGAACTCGCCCACCGCCGCCGCCGCCGGCCCTGCTGCTGACGCACCGCCAGTAGCAGCCCCCCCAGCAGCACCGGCTGTAGCAGAGCCGCCTGTAGCAGCAGCACTCGAAGCAAATGCAGTTGTAGCCTTTTCTGCTCCGCTGCTGCCTATAGCGGTGGCGCCTGCAGCGCTGTCCAGAAGGGCCGCCACAGCAGCCGCGGACGCGGTGGTCTCCTGCCAGCTCTTGCTGCTCCCTGGCTTGGCGCCCGGCACTGCTCTCTTTGCTGCTGCTTCCCTTGCGCTACAGGGGGGAATGCGAGCGGGGGAAGGGGGATGGATGGATGGGGGAGCGCCTGACAGAAATATCAGAGGAAGAAGCAGACGCGGTGGCCTCCTGCCAGCTCCTGCTACTCCCCGGGCTTGGCGCCTGGCACTGCTTTCTGCAGTGCTGGTGAGTCTCTGGTGCTGGGGGAGGGCGGGGGATGAAAGTGGGGAAGGGGGGGTGGATGTGGGAGGGATTGGAAGGAATGTCAGAGGAAGCTGCAGCTGACGCGGTGGCCTCCTGCCAGCTCCTGCTGCTACCCGGGCTTGGCTCCTGGCACTGCTTTCTTCAGCGCTGGTGATTCCCTGGCGCTGCGAGGGTGCGGAACGGGAAAGGGGGTAGATTGGAAAGGGTTTGAGAGGAGCATCAGAGAGAGCAGCAGTTGACGCGGTGGTCTCCTGCCAGCTCCTGCTGCTCCCCGGGCTTGGCTCCGGGCACTGCTTTCTTCAGCGCTGGTGAGATTCTCGTGCTGCACGGAGGGAGGAGAGGAGTGCGGGGAAAAGAGGGGAGAGGGATACTTCCAGCTCAATTTCTGAGACGCCTGAATCACCGTTATCGCAGCAGCGATTGCTGGTCCTGATGCGCACACGCGTACTCATTCCGCGCCTCTCACCCAACCCTTCCGACTCGGTCTCATTACCACGCTGGCTGGAAACACCGGGACCGGGACTGAAATTGATTGACGGATTCCGTCGCATCGCCTTTCCCCGACGTCTTACTTAGCCTCGTCGGAATCGTCCACATAACACGCTGGCTGGAAGCACCTCGAATAAGTATAATCACGCTGAACGGATTCCGTCGCCTCACCTTTCGTCGTCGTCTCACGTACACACCTCGAACTCTACATTAAACACGCTGGCAGGAAGTACCTCGACTGGTATCAACGCACTGACGAATTCCGTTATTCGTCATCGAACTCTTCCCGTACCCTCACCTTTCTCCGTCCGATTCGTCTTCCAGCAACGCGCTTCGACAAACCAGCCGGCGGGAACCTCCCGTCGAACCCAACCTCGCGATTCCACGCGGACCGCCACGCATCGGTCGAAGCGCAGGTGAATACAACAATGACGCGCTCGAGTGACCAGATGCACCGAATGTAGCCGACGCCGAAGCTCCGCCGAGGCTGGGGGACCGAGTGCAGCCATCGCAGGTTCGGCAATCGGTCGGCCTAGCTTTGGATTGAATGCAAAATTGCGAGGCCGTAGGAACCCGCAAACACGAAGCAGCGTGTGCCATTAGGGTTCGTAAGTGAAAATTCGCGGAGAGCCGAGTTGTTAATGGAACGAAGCCGTCGCACGAGCAAATGCACGCGTGCGGAGAAGCACGGGAAAGCTATGGCTGCTCCTGCTGCTGTTACTTGCGACTGCTTGCTACTGCTACTGCCACAGCTTCTGAACAAAAGCTGAAGATGTGGCAAATAGCGGAGCTTACTTCCTAGTGTGAGATGAGAAGCGTGGCAAAAAGCACACTCGAAAGAGGCACACTGTAGTGACACGGAGGATTGATTATCTGGCAGCTCCGAGGCTCGGATGTTGTCGAGGAAGTCCAAGGGGTCATCCTCGCAGCACGCAACTCGCTTTCAGATATAAACAAGCGTCAGGAACAGATGATTTAACCGACATATGAGTACCCCTGAAACCAGATAGATTTTCAAAACCAGGTTGCATTTGCAATTCAATAGTAGATGAAGGCCAAATTGCGTAGAATACCAATTCGCATGCAAAAATATCAGAAATTATATCATATACCATGAACAAATAAATCATTTATTGATACAACAGTAATAGTAATGCGCAACCAGCAGCAACTTGTATCATCACATATTGTACGTATCACCACAAATAAGGCTACACTCTTCGCATTTGTTCGGTAGTCGGATCTTTCACAAATGCGACGCTCAGCTCGCGGGTTCTATTTTTAGCACCTAAACAACAATCCAAGCTTTGTGAGCTTTGTTCCTAATACCTTATAACTACAGCAGAAATCATATGATTTAACGACCATGCTTTTAGTTTGACTAGTGATGTTTAAATGTAGAAGGAAAAAAGGGTAAATCCACGTTACTTAGCTTGGGAGTAGCACACCTACAATGTCAGTTGTAAAAAGAGATGCATTGACATCAAATTCTCGTCCAATGGAGGGCAAGAGATACAGAAGTTAAGGTATATATTGAAACTAATCAATGTACAAGGTGTCAGAGTATTATAGCTGATGCATGTTTGTAGGCTATAGTGGGGTAGCACATATGGGGTACAGATTTCTAGGGTTGTATTTGTACCCAACTCTGACTTAGTCATTCTCATTCCTGTTCACTTGTTTCACATGCTATCCTTGCTGCTATGTATGCTGTGGATTATAGTGAGGAGAATGAGGGTTACCGGTGTTTCCAGCCCGACCCGGGCATTGGTACTGCTGCGCTAGGTGCTTGTGCGGCTGCTGCTCTAGGTGCCAGTGCGTCTGTGCTCTCAGGTACTGGTGAGACTGCGCTCTCAGGTACTGCGTCGTCCTCGTCCTCCCTCACTTTCACACTTGACTCCGGGGCTTCTCGCTCCTTCTTTCGAGACCGCACTACCCTTACGCCGCTCGGCCGGCCGGTTGCGGTCTCCCTTGCTGACCCCTCTGGGGGTCCTGTCCTGTCTCACTTCTCCACTGTCCTCCCGTGTCCGGCTGCCCCTTCGGGCACCCTGTCTGGTCTGTACCTTCCCTCGTTCTCTACGAACTTGGTGAGTGGAGCGGACCTGCAGGATGTGGGGGTTCACCAGTTCACTCCTGCGAGTCAGCGGGTGACCCACTGCACGGAGGCACGCACAGGCCGACACCTGACCACGTTCTCGCGTCGGCCGGGGTCGAGTCTCTACACCCTGACCGTTGAGTCTCCTCCTGTCCCTGCGTCTGGTCAGGTGGCTGCGTCGGGTCAGGTGCTTGCTGCTGCGTCCCGGTCAGGTCCTGAGTCTGCCCCCTGTTCTTGTCGCCTCCTGTCTCACGAGACTCTCCTGTGGCACCACCGTCTTAGCCACCCCTCCTTGCCCCGTCTTCGGAGCATGGCTTCCCGTGTCCTTGTCTCTGGTCTTCCCCAGTCTCTCCCTCCTCTCCCCTCCGGGCCAGGACCTTCCTGTGTCCCCTGTGTCGAGGGTCGCCTCCGGGCTACTCCTCACTCCTCCCACTTCCCCCCGACAGAGGCTCCCCTGCAGACGCTTCACATGGATGTGTGGGGCCCAGCCCCCGTCAGTGGGCAGGGTTACGAGCGCTACTTCCTGTTGGTGGTCGACGACTACTCGCGTTACACCACAGTCCTCCCCTTGCGCAGCAAGGGTGCGGTCACTAAGGTGCTGATCGTCTGGATCCGCGAGGCTCGTCTCCAGCTCAGGAAGAGCTTCGGCTCGGACTTTCCTGTTCTGCGTCTGCACTCGGACAGAGGCGGAGAGTTCTCTTCTCGCCTTCTGCGGGACTACTGTCGTGCACGGGGGATCCGCCAGACCTTCACGCTTCCGGACTCACCACAGCAAAATGGGATTGCTGAGCGCCGCATTGGCATGGTCATGGATGTCGCTCGTACGTCCATGATGCATGCGGCTGCCCCCCATTTTCTGTGGCCGTTTGCGGTTCGGTACGCGGCGCATCAGCTCAACCTTCACCCCCGGGTCTCTCGGCCTGCGATGTCCCCAGCCTTGCTGTGGACGGGGAAGGTTGGCGATGCGTCTGTGTTCCGTGTCTGGGGATCTCGGGCGTTTGTCCGGGACTTGTCTGCGGACAAGCTGTCCCCTCGTGCTGCTCCCTGTGTCTTCCTTGGCTTCCCCACTGACGCCCCGGGGTGGCAGTTTTACCACCCCTCCTCTCGTCGTGTTCTGTCCTCCCAGGACGTCACGTTCGACAAGTCAGTCCCCTTCTACCGTCTCTTCCCCTACCGCACTCCTTCCCTCCCCCCTCCCCCGGACTTCCTTGTGCCGGTTCCCCCCCCGGTAGACCCCCTCCCCCCTCAGGTTCCTGCCCCCTCAGGTGTGTCCCGGGTAGACGCTGTTGACCCGGTCGAGGTTACTGGTGACTCTGGTGCTGCTGCGGGTGCTGAGCCTGGGGGTGCTGACTCTGGGGGTGCTGTGCGCGGGGGTGCTGAGCCTGGGGGTGCTACTGCTGGGGGTGCTGGGCCTGAGGGTGCTACTGCGGAGGGTGCGGAGCCTGGGGGTGCTGAGCCGGGGGGTGTTGTGCCTGGAGGTGCTGGGTCTGGGGGTGCTGGGTCGGGAGCTGCTGAGCCCGGGGGTGCTGTGCTGGGAGCTGCTGAGCCTGGGGGTGCTGCGTCTGGAGCTGCTGAGCCTGGGGTTTCTCCTGCTGCTGCGTCTCGCCGGGAGCCCCTCTCTCCACAGGAGCTGCGCGAGTGGTTCGCTCGCCGCTGGAGGCGTGCTGCTGCGTCTGGAGGTGCTGCTGGAGCTGGAGCTGGAGCTTCTTCGACCGTCGAGGGTGCGGGTGCTGCCGGTCCCGGAGCTGCTGGACCTGCGGGTCCTCCTGGAGCTGGAGCTGCTGAGGGCGTTGGTGCTGAGCCTACTGCTGTTGGTCCTGCCGCTGGAGGTGTGGGTGGCGCTGGTGCTGTCGCTGAGGGTGCTGGTGCTGTCCCTGCTGAGTCTGGAGCTGCCGCGCGGCCTCGGCCGTACTTCGTTCCGCTCCTGCAGCAGGTTCTTGGTCTTTCTCCTCTAGTAGAGGGTCCACCGCCTGTCCAGTCGCAGTCCCTGCTGGAGCCTTCCTCTCCACTGCCTGCTCCCTCTCCTTACACTGGTCCTACTGGAGGTCTTGCTGAGCGTCGTGAGCGTGCGTCTCGTCCTGCGTCGCCTGTTCGTGCTGCTCTCGCTAGTGGTCGCAGTTCGCGTCAGCGTCCTCCTCCTGTCCCTGGCACGCACCGGATGTCTTTGCGTCCGTCCACTGCTCCTCTGCGTGCCCCTTTGCCTTCTCCTCCTGAGTCCTCTCTTCCTGCGCTTGCCGACCCTGAGTCG